TCACCAACTCCTTTGAATCTCCTGTTCAAGGCTGCCCAAACTGAAGAAGCATCATCCACAAAGGTGCCAACCACCCCAAGCATCTCCAACACACTCTGGCGGAGGCCAAGTGCAAACAGTGGGCCAGAGGCATGCAAAAAAACCAAGCATTAAATCTACCCACCTTTTCAAATATCACCTGCCCCACCAGTGACATGGTGTATAGATCCAGAATTGCACTTTTTAACATTCTCAGGAACCACAACTCCAGAGTTGAAGAAATTTTGAGGGCCTACTTAAGAAGAGTAAGACCATTTACGAGAAATTTAACTGGACCAGCTACAAAAATACTGTGGTTACAAGAGCATGTCAAGGGCTAGGAATTCGGCGGTGAGCAATCTACCTCCTGTCTCCCTGGTGCTTGTACACCATATAAGGCACAAGTCAGGAATGTGATGGAATATTCTCCACTTGTCTGCATGCATGTAGCTCTAACAACACTTAAGAAGCTTGACACCACCTGGGAAAAAGCATCCTGCTTCCTTGGCACCACATTGAAAACCTTCAAAGTTTGGTCCATACAAAGGCTTTGACATTTGGGATGCTGTGCCATTAAGTAATTTACTGAAGGTGCCATGACAGTGAAGAGAGCCAACAGTTGGAGAAGCTCAGAAGGTCTGATACCATCTATAGACAGAGAAACAGAGTTAATGTTTTGAGGCTAGTATCATTCTTCTTTGGAACTACAAAGGGCTGGAAGAGTACCAGGAAAGTGATTAGTGGTGACTGGGATGAAGTAGGATCGGTAATGATTGAGGAAGGTAACAGGTCTGCAACAGCACATATGCTTTTTATTGTGCAGTTGCAAGGAGACTCCACATTTACACAAGAATGATTAGAATACTTAGACTTGTTTGTTGCAGTATGCAGCAGTTTCTTTAAGACCGAACTTAAAGTGGGGGGAGGGTGGAGGGCACATTATACCATACCACCCCTTCAGTCTGGTCCATTACTTAATTTGGTTATCTGATCTTGGCCTCAATTCTACTTACCTATCTATTCTCCACAATGCTTTGCTCCACTATTGTTCTTTCTGAGCCTTGAATATATTCCATTATCCAAACCTCTTTGAGGTAGAGAATTCCAAAGATTCACAGCCCTCTGAGAAAAAAATTTCCTCCTCACCACCTTCTTAAATGAACCATTCCTAATTCTGAAACTGAATACACACCTGGAACTTATTCAGGGCAATCCGATGTAACATGTGAGGGGTGGGCTGCAGGATTGTTCAGTGGGACTTTTAGTTGAATGTATAAATAGACAAATAGCTGTTTCAGGCATGTACGTTTTTTAAACTACAACAGTACAATTGGCAACATACTTCTAAGTTGTACTGAGAATATGATATTTATCTGCTACACGAGAGACTCAGGTGCCTCTTTAGCACCTCAGAAGGGACAATGGATTTTATTGACCACTTTGGTTTTATTCAATGCTCCACCAATTTGATTCAGAGATAGTGGGAACTGCCGACACTGGAGAATCTGAGATAACAAGATGTAGAGCTGGATGAACACAGCTGTTCCCGATGTGGCCTCCTCTACATCGGGGAAACCAAGCGAAGGCTTGGGGACTGCTTTGTGGAACACCTATGCTCGGTTTGCGACAAACGACTGCAGCTCCCAGTCACGAACCATTTCAACTCGCCCTCCCACTCCTTGGACAACATGTCCATCCTGGGCCTCCTCCAGTGCCACAACGATGCCAGCAGGAAAGCTGACGTTTCGGGTCTGGACCCTTCTTCAGAAATGGGAGAGGGGAAAGGGATTCTGAAATAAATAGAGAGAGAGGGGGAGGCAGATGGAAGGTGGATAAAGGAGCAGATAGGTGGAGAGGAGACAGACAGGTCAAAGCGGTGGGGATGGAGCCAGTAAAGGTGAGTGTAGGTGGGGAGTTAGGATGGGGATAGGTCAGTCCAGGGAGGACGGACAGGTCAAGGGGGCGGGATGAGGATGGTAGGTAGGAGGTGGGGGTGGGACTTGAGGTGGAAGGAGTGGACGTACAGGTTAGGGAGGCGGGGACGAGCTGGGCTGGTTTTGGAATGCAGTCGCGGGAGGGGAGATTTTGAAGCTTATGAAGTCCACATTGATACCATCGGGCTGCAGGGTTCCCAAGCGAAATATGAGATGCTGTTCCTGCAACCTTTGGGTGGCATCGTTGTGGCACTGGAGGAGGCCCACGATGGACATGTCGTCCAAGAAGTGAATGGTTTGCGACTGGGAGGTGCAGTCGTTTCTCGCAAACCAAGTGTAGGTGTTCCATAAAGAAACCACCGCTTGGTTTCCCTGATGTAGAGGAGGCCACAACGGGAACAGCAGATACAGTACACCAAATTAGCAGACGTGCAGGTGAACATCTGTTTGATGTGGAAGGTCTTCTTGGGGCCTGGGATGGGGGTGAGGGGGGAGATGTAGGGGCAGGTGCAGCACTTCCTGCGGTTGCAAGGAAAAGTGCCGGGGCTGGTGGGGCTAGTGGGGAGTGTGGACCGGACAAGGGAGTCACGGAGAGAGTGGTCCCTCCGGAAGGCAAAGAAGGGTGGGGAGGGAAAAATGTCTTTGGTAGTGGGGTCAGATTGCAGATGGCAGAAGTGCCGGAGGATGATGCGGTAGATCCGGAGGTTGGTGGGGTGGTACGTGAGGACGATGTGGATTCCATTTTGGTTGTTATTGCAGGGAGGGGATGTGCGGGATGAGTTGCGGGAAATGCAAGAGACACAGTCGAGGGCATTTTCAACCATTGTGGAGGAGAATTTGCGGTCCTTGAAAAACGAGGTCATCTAGGATGTCCGGGAGTGGAATGCCTCATCTCGGGAGCAGATGCGGCAGAGGCGAAGGAATTAGGAATAGGGGATCACATTTTTGCAGGAAGGTGGGTGGGAGGAGGTGTATTCTAGGCAGCTGTGGGAGTCGGTAGGCTTGAAATGGATATCGGTTTCCAGGTGGTTGCCAGAGATGGAAACAAAGAGGTCCAGGAAGGAGAGAGAGGTATCGGAGATGGTCCAGGTGAACTTAAGGTTGGGGTGGAACGCGTTAGTGAAGTGGATGAACTGTTCAAGCTCCTCGTGGGAGCACGAGGCGGCGCCTATACAGTCATCGATGTAACAGAGAAAGTGGTGGGGGATACGGCCAGTGTAGCTTCGGAAGAGGGATTGTTCCACGTATCCTACAAAGAGGCAGGCATAGCTTGGGCCCATGGCCACCCCCTTTGTCTCTGTTTCCATCTCTGGCAACCACCTGGAACTCTTCCTCCGTTACATCGATGACCCCACCAACCTCTGGACCCAACCCATCATCCTCCGGCACTTCCGCCATCTGCAATCTGACCCCACTACCAAAGACATTTTTCCCTCCCCACCCTTATCTGCCTTCCAGAGGGACCACTCTCTCCGTGACTTCCTTGTCCGCTCCACACGCCCCACCACCCCGGGCACTTTTCCCTGCAACCGCAGGAAGTGCTACACCTACCCCAACACCAAACTCCTCACCCCCACCCCAGGCCCCAAGAAGACCTTCCACATCAAGCAGATGTTCACCTGCACATCTGCTAGTTTGGTATACTGCATCAGCTGTTCCCAATGTGGCCTCCTCTACATCAGGGAAACCAAGCGGAGGCTTGGAGACCGCTTTGTGGAACACCTACGCTCGGTTTGCGACAAACGACTGCAGCTCCCAGTCACGAACCATTTCAACTCCCCTTCCCACTCCTTGGATGGCATGTCCATCCTGGGCCTCCTCCAGTGCCACAACAATGCCACCCGAAGGTTGCAGGAATAGCACCTCATATTTCGCTTGTGAACCCTACAGTCTATGATATCAATGCGGACTTCACAAGCTTCAAAATCTCCCCTCCCCCGACCGCATTCCAAAACCAGCCCAGCTCGTCCCCGCCTCCCTAACCTGTCCGTCCACTCTTTCCACCTCAAGCCCAACCCCCACCTCCTACCTACCATCCTCATCCCGCCTCCTTGATCTGTCTGTCCTCCCTGGACTGACCTATCCCCACCCTAACTCCCCACCTACACTCACCTTTACTGGCTCCATCCCCACGTCTTTGACCTGTCTGTCTCCTCTCCACCTATCTGCTCCTTTATCCATCTTCCATCTGCCTCCCCCCCTCTCTCTATTTATTTCAGAATCCCTTTCCCCTCCCCCATTTCTGAAGAAGGGTCCAGACCCAAAACGTCAGCTTTCCTGCTCCTCTGATGTTGCTTGGCCTGCTGTGTTCATCCAGCTCTATACCTTGTTATCCACCAATTTGCTTATCATTCAACAAGAAGCTATGCAGCAGTGGTTAACTTGACATATAAATAAAGCATTAAGTATGGAGCCGCACAGTGGCTTAGTGGTTAGTATTATTGCCTCACAGCACCAGGGACCCAGGTTTGATTTCACCCTCAGGCTGTGTGGAGTTTGCACGTTCTCCCCTTGTCTGCATGGGTTTACTCTGGTTTCATCCCACAATCCAAAGATGTGCAGGTTAGGTGGATTGGTCATGCTAAATTGTCGCTAGCATCCACGGATATGCAGGTTAAGTGGATTAGCCATGGGAAATACAGAGTTATGAGGATTGGGGGGGGGGGGGGGGGGGGGGGGGGGGGGGCGGGTGGCAAGTCTAGCTAGGATGCTCTTTGGAGGATCAGTCTGGATTTGAAGGCTGAAAGGCCTGCTTCCACACCGTAGGTCTAGAATTTACGGTCACAGAATTGCTCATTTGAGAGTCACCTAAAATTCTTTTTCTTGGGTACAACTGACTCATCCCAATGTCCAGTTCAACTTACAATGCTACAAGTGAAGCAGGGCTGCCATTAGGAACAGTACTGTTTGGTTAAGATGATATGAAAGCATATCAATATACTGCGCACGGCTTGTGCAGTATACAATGCAAATATGATTAATAGTAAATTCAGGAAACACATCAAAACATATTAATTTACTATTTGTATTTTCCCATTAAATTCTTACCCTAAAAGAGGAATTTTCAAGTATACTATTCTTTCCATCGCTCCATTCTTTTTCATTTTCATTCATCTTAAAATTCTGTAGGTATTGAGCACAACATAAAAATTCAACAGCTTTTCTTTTTAGCAAACAACTCATATAAAAACACAGCAACACTAACAGGTTTACTTTCCTGTTTGCATTTTATGTGACTTTTAATAACTGACTTATGAAATTTTAATAAACTATAAATAACTATGTACCTATTTCTTCTGTAATTAAAACACACGAAATTCAGAGTGATTAATTTTTGCCCTTTCATTCATTTTATTAGCAGTAATTCACTAATGCTTGTTAATACTGATTATAAGGAATGACCAAAAAGCTAATATAAAAGTAAACACAGCAGGTACTGAAAATTTGAATTAAATAAAATCACAAAATTCTGGAAATACTCCACAAATCTGCCAGCATCTGTGAAAAGATAATTAAATTAACATTTCAGGTTGCTAACTTGGGAAACATTACCAAAAAGCTAAACCAAGTTTATAATAAGGTCTGAATTTAAGATATTTGGGTCTGAAAGTAAAAAGAAAAAGGATTTTTCTCAATTTGATTAATTGTAAGTTTTAAATTAGATAAATAACTTCTATTGTTTCGGGTGTGCAGTCTTCACGAAGCACCAAAATGAAATGAAATACTAAGAAACAGCAGGGTTTACACTGATTCAAAGAAAATGGATTCAGGAGGAACCAAGGGCAGCGAGTTCTCTCAGTTCGTCCCCAGTTAGTAAATTAAATTTCTTCCATGGTTCATTAATAAGTACATGTAATTTAATGCACATGCCATCAGGTGGCTATTTAACAGTGGTAAAAATAGTGCATAAATCTGAACAGTGATTGGCTACAACTGCCTACCATTAACAGCTTGGGACAGTGTGATCTTTCAAAATGCTTTCTGAAAAATATTTCATCCAATTTTGTTTTGGCAAGATTCACATATTTCACACTTTGGATATATCCTCTGCACTTTTAACAGATTTGAAAGTCTAGAGACAGTAATATATTTGATGATTCATTTCATTTATTATTATAGGGTCATACAGCGTGGAAACAGATCCTTCAGTCCAACTCATCTGGGCCTACCAGACATCTCAATCTGATCTAGTCTGATTTGCCAGCATTTGGCCCATATCCCTCTAAGCCCTTCCTATTCAAATACACATCCAGATGCTTTTTCGATGCTGTAATTGTACTTGCCTCCACCACCTCCTCTGGCAGCTCGTTCCATACACACACAACACTCTGCGTGAAAAAGTTACCCATCAGGTCCTTTTTGAATCTTTCCCCCTCTCACCATAAAGTTATGTCCTCTAGTTTTGGACTCCCCCACTCTAGGAAAAAGGCGTTGGATATTCACTTTATCCAGGCACCTCATGATTTTATAAACCTCTAAAAGGTCACTCCTCAGTCACCAACACTCCAGTCTATTCAGCCTCTCCCTATAGCTCAAACCCTCCACTCCCGGCAACATCCTTATAAATCTTTTCCGCATCACATCAAGTGTAACAACATCCTTCCTGTAGCAGGGAGACCAGAACTGTATGCAGCATTCCAAAAGTGGCCTCACTAATGCTCTGTACAGCCGCAACATGAGTCCCAACTCCCATGCTCACTGTCATGACCAATGAAGGCAAGCATGCCAAACAGCTTCACTACCGTCCACCTGCGACTCCACTGCCAAGGAACTATGCACCTGCACTCCTAGATCTCTTCGTTCAGCAACACTCCCCAGGGCCCTATCATTAAATGTATAAGTCCTGCCCTGGTTTGCCTTGCCAAAATGCAATACCTCACATTTATCTAAAATTATCTCCAACTGCCACTCTTCAGTCCATTGGCCCATCTGATCAAGGGTCCGTTGTACTCTGAGATAATTTTATTCACTGTCCACTACACCACCTATTTTGGTGTCATCTGCAAAATTACTAACAATATCTCTTATATTCACATTCAAAACATTTATAAAAATGATGAAAAGCAGTGAACCCAGCACTGATCCTTGTGGCACACCACTGGTCACAGGCTCCAGTCCGAAAAACAACCTTCTACCATCACCCTCTGCCTCCTACTTTCAAGCCAATATTGTATCCAATTGGATCCCATGTGATCCAGCCTTACTAACTAGTCTGCCATGTGGAACCTCATCGAATGCTTTGCTGAAGTACAAAATAATAACATTTACCGCTCGGTTGTCATCAATCTTCTTCGTCGCTTCTTCAAAAAACTGCATCATGTTAGCGCCATGCTGACTATCCCTAATCAGTCCTTGCCTTTCCAAATGCATATAAATCCTGTCCTTCAGAATGCCCCCCAACAACTTACCCACCAGTGACATAAGGCTCACCGGTCTACAATTCCCTGGCTTTTCCTTACAGCTTTTCTTAAATAACGGCACTATAGAACAGAGAACTTAGAACATAGAACAGTACAGCACAGTACAGGCCCTTCGGCCCACGATGTTATGCCGAACTTTTACCCTAAACCCAAGGTCTATCTAACCTCCACCCCTACCTGATACTATCATCCATATGCCTATCTAATTGCCGCTTAAATGCCCCTAATGAGGCCGACTCCACTACCCTCTCCGGCAATGCATTCCACGCCCCTACCACTCTCCAAGTAAAGAACCTACCTCTGACGTCTCCCTGATATCTACCTCCACTCACTTTAAAGCTATGCCCCCTCGTAATAGCTACCTCCACCCTAGGCTGTCCACTCTATCTATACCTCTGATCATTTTGTACACCTCTATCAAGTTACCTCTCATCCTTCGTCGTTCTAAAGAGAAAAGCCCTAGCTCTTTCAACCTTTCCTCATAAGACCTTCCCTCCATTCCAGGCAACATCCTGGTAAATCTCCTCTGTACATTTTCCAACACTTCCACATCTTTCCTGTAATGAGGCAACCAGAACTGGACACAATACTCCAGACGTGGCCGAACCAGGGTTTTGTATAGCTGGGGCATAACTTCACGGCTCTTGAACTCAATCCCTCTATTAATGAAAGCTAACACACCATACGTCTTCTTAACAACTCTATCCACCTGGGTGACAGCTTTCAGGGAACTGTGGACATGAACCCCAAGATCCCTCTGCTCCTCCACACTGCCAAGAATCTTTTTGTTTGTCCTTCCAAAATGAATCACCTCACACTTTTCAGGGTTAAACTCCATCTGCCACTTCTCAGCCCAGCTCTGCATTCTATCAATGTTCCTTTGTAACCTAGAACAGCCCTCTGCACTATCCACAACTTAACCTATCTTTGTATCGTCCGCCACCTTACTAATCCACCCTTCCACTCCTACATCCAAATCATTTACAAAACTCACAAATAGAAGAGGACCCAGAACTGATCCGTGTGGTACACAACTCGTAACCGAGCACCATGTCGAATATTTTCCGTCCACTACCACCCTTTGTCTTCTAAGGGTCAGCCAATTCTGAATCCAATCTGCCACATTTCCCCCTATCCCATGCCTCCTTACTTTCTGCATGAGTCTACCATGGGGAACCTTATCAAACACCTTACTTAAATCCATGTATACCACATCCACTGCTCTATTTTCATCCACGTGTTTGGTCACCTCTTCAAAGAATTCAATAAGGTTTGTGAGGCATGATCTACCCCTCACAAATCCAGGCTGACTATCATAAATCAAACTGTGCCTATCCAAGTTATCATAAATCCTATCTCTCAGAGCCCTTTCCAATAACTTGCCCACCACTGAAGTAAGACGAATTAGCCTGTAATTTCCAGGGTTATCCCTATTCCCTTTTTTGAACAAGAGAATGACATTTGCCTCTCTCCAATCTTCCGGCACTATTACCCATGGACAGTGAGGACGAAAAGATCATCGCCAAAGGCTCTGCGATCTCTTCCCTCGCTTCCCATAGAACCCTTGGATAAATCCCATCAGGCCCGGGGGACTTATCTATCTTCAACTTCCTCAAAGTTCCTAGTACATCTTCCTCACTAACATCGATCTCCTCTAGCCTACCAGACTGTTTCACACTGTCCTTCTCTACAACTAGGTCCCTCTCAATTGTGAATACTGAAGTATTCATTAGGGACCTCTCCTATCTCTTTAGGCTCCGTGCACAAATTCCCTTTACAATCCTTGATTAGCCCTACCCTTTCTCTGGTCATTCTCTTATTCCTCATGTACGTGTAAAAAGCCTTGGAGTTTTCCTTGATCCTGTCTGCTAAGGTTTTCTCATGCCCCCTTATAGCTCTCCTAAGCCCTTTCTTCAGCTCCTTCCTGGCTAACTTGTATCCCTCTAGAGCCTTTTCCGATCCTTGTTTCCTAAACCTTATATAAGCATCCTTCTTCCTCTTAACCAGTCGTTCGACCTCTCTTGAGAGCCAAGGCTCCCTCACTCGACCGCATCTTCCCTGCCTGCTAGGGACAAACATATCGAGCACACGCAGTATGCATTCTTTAAACAATCTCCATATTTCAATAGTGCTCTTCCCAACAGCATCTGTTCCCATTTTATGTTACCCAGTTCTTGCCTAACAGAATTATAATTACCCTTCCCTCAATGATAAACCTTACCCTGCTGTACGTACCTATCCTTTTCCCTGGCTATTATAAAAGTAACAGAGTTATGATCACTACCACCAAAATGCTCTCCTACCAACAGGTCTAACACTTGGCCCAGTTCATTGCCAAGCACCAAATCCAAAGTGGCCTCTCCTCGTGTTGGTCTATCTACATAAATTAGCTAATATCCAGTCTTCCGGCACCCCACCTGTGGCTATCAATGATACAAATATCTCAGAAAAGGGCCCAGCAATCTTTTCCCTACCTTCCCACAAAGATCTGGAAAACACCTGATCAAGTCCTGGGGACATAGTTTTGAGATCTCCAGCACTTCTTCTGTAATATGAAGTCTTTTCAAGATATTGCTATTTATTTCCCCAAGTTTCCTAGCTTTCATATCCATCTCCACAGTAAATACTGATGCAAAATATTTGTTTATTACCTCACTCATCTCCTGTTGTTCAACACATAGACAGCTACGTTAATCTTTAAGGGGGCCTATTCTCTCTGTAGTGATTGTAAAGAGGTTGGCCAGGTAGATATCACTGAGTGTGAGTTCCCTGGTTGGGGCTGTTAATCTGGGCCAATCAGGTAGTCCTGGCTGATTGATATAACCAAGAGTTGAGTCTCCTCACTCTAGGGACTGCCTCTGAGCTAGCTGGTCAGAGTCCATATACAATGCACATGTAAATAAAGGGTGACTTGGTGACAGGATACGGGCCTCCGAAGTTATTTCACTTTCACTAGTGTTATAGACCAGACCAGACACCTCAAAGTATATTAAGAAGGTAGCCTAGACCCTAACTTTTTCTTATTATAAAAGGCAAATGTCAGCTGCTGTGTTCCAGATACAACTTGACGGGTTAAACCTCTTGACATTAAGCAAAACCAAATTTATTCAAACACTACAATTAAAATACAACAAAAGAAAGAAGAACTTGGATTAACTTAACTCTACTGGAAAATTTAACAGAATAATAGATACAGTATCATCCCATAAATACCATTGGCAAATAGCAACTTCAGAAAACAGATTTGTCTCACATGAAATCCAGCAGCTCAGGAAGAGAACCCCCAAGCTTTTGGCTATAATGGAGACTGGGAAAAATAGCTTCCATTCTCTTCAAGCCCACAACAACAACTGCTGAAAGCTAAGTATTCTGGATCTGTAAGAACTTGACCACACCCACTAAGGCTGCTTGTATTGTTCCCACTTTAAAAAAAACCAGGACAAAACACACCTCTTAAAGCCATAGCATCGTCACACTAATTACTCTTTTGCCCTTAATGTAATTGTAGAATATCTTTGGATTCTCTTTAACTCTAACTGCCACAGCAATCTCATGTTCCCTTTTTGCAGTCCTGATTTGTCTGTTAAATATACTTCTACTCCCTTATACTCCTCTCGGGATTCACTCAGTCCTGGCTGTCTCTACATGACATATGCTTCCTTCTTTTTCTTGACCAGAGCCTCAAATTCTCTCGTCATCCAGCATTCCCTACATCTACTAGCCTTGCCCTTCACAGAACATACTGTCTTTGAACTATTTATCTCATTCTTAAAGGCCTTCCACTTCCTAACCATTCCTTCACCTGTAAAAAGCCTCCCCAATCAACTTTTGAAAGTTCCTAATACCATAAAAATTGTTTGGCCCTACTACGATTTAGAACTTTTTGATCCATTTTATCCTTTTTTATAACTACTTTTAAACTACTATAATTATGATCATTTGCACCAAAGTGTCCACCTACTGACACCTCAGTCACTTGCCTCACTTTATTTCCCAACAGAAGGTCAAGTATTGCCCCTTCTCCAGTAGGGACATCCACATATGGAGTAAGAAAGTTTTCTTGTACACGCTTAACAAATTTCTCCCCATCCAAGGCCTTAACACTATGACAGTCCCAGTCTATGTTTGGAAAATTAAAATCACCTACCATTACAACCCTTTTTTTTTGAAACAGATATCTGAAATCTCCTTACCTTTTTGTTTCTCAGTTTCCTGCTGACTAGTGGGGGGACCTATAATACAATCCCAACAAGGTTGATCATCTTTTTCTTATTTTTAAGTTCCACTCCTATAACTTCACTGGATGATCTCCCAGGAATATCCTCCCTAAGTACACCTGTAACGTTCTCTCTAACCAAAAACACCACTCCCCCTCCTCTCTTGTCTCCCTTTCTATCCTTCCTAAAGCACCTATACCCTGGAACATCAAGCTGCCAGTCCTGGCAATCCCTGTGCCACATTTAGTAATTCAAACGGATTTTTACAATGCCCTAGTTTCGTGGTCACAATTCCTGAAACCAGCATTCAGTTTCAAAGTTATTTTTTGATTTGAAATCGAATTGCAACAGCTGTCTCCAGAACATTAGCCTGGGTTTCTCTCTTGAAAATCATGTATGTGCATATTGTTACAGAACAAGGTCCTCAATTTTGAAATTTCTTCATCTCCAATGTTAGTAGCACCACAGAGAAACTACAGGCCTCAACAAACTATTATTGTCTACATTATTGTCAGTGCCTTTGTTTTGTATTAAAATAACAAAACAATATTTATTCTCTGACATGCAATAACATAATTACATTTATATATTGATTTTTTTTCATGGAACTCTTAACTTGAAAGATTGCCCTCTGCCAAATGTCCTAGTTTGGACTTGTTTTTACCCAGGTTTCTGGACAACTTGCTTTCAGATCAATTATGAAAAATGTTCCTTCTTTACGGACTGCAAAATCAAGGCCATTACATTTTTGTAAGCAGAGAGACTGAGATCTGTGTGAGTGTGCATATATGTGTGCGTGATAGAGGGTGAGAAGGTTTACATTGCTTTCTGTTTTGTGTTTTTAAGCTTTAGAAAATACACAAAGGCAAATGTCTCCCTCACACCAAGGTTTTCAGCATTTCTCTTAAAACATCTGAATTAGGAGCAGGAGCAGGCCTCCTTTCTCTCTTGTTTGTTCCAATATTTGATGAGATCATAGCTGATTTGATTGTAGCCTCAACTTTACTGTCCCCACCTATGTCAATACCAATTGACTTCCTTGTTAGTCAAGAATCTATCTACCTCTGCTTAAAAACAGACCAATAAACCTGCCTCCACCTCTCTTTGGGGAGGGAATTCCACAAATTCCCAAACCTTTGAGAGGAAAAGAAGTCTTGTCATCCCTGCTTAAAATGGTTGGCCCCTTATTTATAAATGGAGTCCCAGGGCTGTTTAGTTGGATAGCCAATTTGTGATGCAGAATGATAGCAAAAGTGTAGGTTCAAATACCACACTGGCTGAGGTTACCATGAAGGATTCTCCTTCTCGACTTTGCCCCTGACTTGAGATGTGGTGACCCTCAAGCTAAACCATCACCAATTGTCTCTGTCTCTAATGAAAGCAACTCTACGGCCTGGTAAAACTATGGTGAGTTTACCTTAGTTCCTCCCACACATCTTTTCAGAATCTATCATGTCAAGAATACCTGGGATCTTATATGTCTCAATAAGATGATCCCTCACTTTTCTACATTCCAATAGATACAAGCCCAAACTTTCCTCTTAAATGAAGCCCCTAATCTCAGTAATCAGTCTTTCCTGCTCCTCTGATGCTGCCTGGCCTACTGTGTTCCTCCAGCTCCATGCTGTGTTGTCAAGTGAACTTTGAGTTACTTTCTGAACTGGACCACTCTGAACGAAAAAAAACTTAGTTACATGCATATTAGAAGCTTCTAATGCTAGCTTGCGTTTTGGTGGTTGGAAAATGCAACTATTCCAAGAGGCAGATAAGACAAAAATTGTCGTTCATCGTTCAGGAGAGGGTTTCAGAGGTAGAAAGTGGAGACAAGTAGAGAAGCAGCCATTCACCATGGAAACAGGTAAAGTGTAAAAATACTGTCTCTATGACTTCATATATACTATTATCACACATTCATTTATAACTACCATCTTGAATTTTTCCTCATCTCCTTACTGCTCCTTCACGATATTCAACAGTGAAACGTTTGCATTATACCATCTCTACGGTAATATCCATGCAAAGGTTTAACAAGTTAGTGTTCAAAAGCGCTGAGATTTGCCTGTCTGCTCAGACTTAGCACAGCGACTCAATCTGCGAGCGCTGTATTTAGCGGGAGTGCTGCTCCCCACTCCCCGGCTCAAATCAACGGCACAATCGAGTCAAGGTATCGTCACAATCGAGTTCTTCACTCCACGGAACTTTGTCAGTAGTTCAGGCATGAACCCAGTCTATTCGTTACCAGCTCCACCATTCTGTTTGTTATTACTGCTGGCTCGAGTACTTGGTGCAATATAACCGAAAAAAAAATACTTTGCAATAACAGATAACACAGTGTGGAGCTGGATGGACACAGCAGGCCCGGCAGTATCAGAGGAGCAAGAAAGCAAACATATCCGGTCGGAACCCTTCTTCAGAAATGGAGGAGGGGGAAGGGAGCTCCGAAATAAATAGAGGAGGGGTGGGGCCGGGGCAGGTAGGTGGGATGGTGATAGGTGAGTGCAGGTAGAGAGTGGTGGGGATTGGTCAGTGAGGTGGGAGGAGCGGATAGGTGGGAGAGAAGATGGACAGGTCAAGGAGGCAGGGTTGAGAGGGTGGGTTGGTCATAGGATGAAGTTGGGGGTGGGGAGATTTTGAAGCGAGTAAAAGTGCACGTTGAGACCATTGGGCTGTGGGCTCCCAAGGCAGAATGTGAGATGCTGTTCCTCCAGTTTCTGGGTGGCGTTGTTGTGACACTGGAGGACGCCCATGTTGTCCAGGAAGGGGGAGTTGAAGTGGTTTGCGACTGGGAGGTGTTGTCGTTTGTCATGAACC